TTTCAGAGGACATGGTTGATTGTGCAGTTTATTTAGGTTAGAATTTCATGCAAAGGGCCCAGAGGACATCCCTTTTTCTTTTGTGATTTCATTAAAGGTCTAGTGTTCAGTCCACCCTTGCCTGAAACCTCTCTGACCTCAAAACTCGAATCTGTTTACTGTTGTCTCCAAAATTGCAACAAATTGAATTCGGGATCCTGTTGCATAAAACGCTTGTAATTGTTACAAGCTTTACAAGTTACAAATTATAAGCTACAAGTATTTATAAGTCTTGTATCTTGTAATCTTTATGTAACAGGGTCCTGATGGGATGTCTGGTGTCGCTGACGCCCACAAAACTGACTCTTCGAGATAAAATTCGATGTGTCTTGCTATAAATTAACACCCTGATCGATTCTGCAGTTCTTCTGATGAGTATTTACTAAAATGATATCAACACAATATAAAATTTATTCTGTTTTAAAATATTTAATAAAAAAGGATAATTTACATTCGAAAATAGTTGTAAATACTGTACTCCTTTCAGTAATTGGCTCTTTCATCATTGATTTTTCGACATTCACTTCTATTTCTAAATAATTTTATAGAAAAATTAGTTTTATAAATTACTTAATATAAATAGTGTTAATTAAAACGAAATTATACAACTGTAATTGCTATAAACAGTAGTTTTAAAAAGCCATCCACAATACTTAACAGTAGAAATTTGAATAAAAACAACATGAATGCACTTTTATCCTAAACTGACAGGCATTTTACACTTTTATCTAAGCTAACAGGCTTCTTATAATTTTATTCTACGCTGACAGACTTCTTAGAACGTTAAGAATGCATCTAAATCAGTGTCTCAAACGTTTTCGTGTTAAGGTTCATTTAATTACAGAAATTTAATAATGTTAAAGTGCAATAATATGTAAGTGCATAAGGTAGAAGCATCAAATCAACTAAAATACACTTGGTGGCCCCTTATATTTGGGAACTCCTAGACTATTACTCGCCATTGATTGCATTGTAGTATAACATTCTTTATTATATTCTTTATTGATAACTGAAGTTAAATTAGTTTAGATTCAGTACACGAAAGTGTCTTTATGTGTTCTTATTAAAATTTCCAGTTAACATTAACAATGCATTTTTAGTAATAATAGTTTAATTTGTATCGTTGAATCAAAATAAGAATTTGATGTAAAGATTTGCATTTTATTTTAAAAAATTTAATTAATTAAACATTCGCAAATAGTAGACAATGCGTACAGAAAAAAAATTTAAGGGCTTATCTCTGTACTTTTCGCATTCCTCACCTTTGTACTCTTCACTTTTAATTTCTAATTCAAACTTCCCTGGTCTAATTTTTTATTTTCCGTTTTGAATCAATCTGATAGGCTAGGGCCTTACATACTCGACAGTATTAGGTACGATAAATCAACGAACAACATGGATTCGTTTACAAAAATCATTGTGAAGCAGGGGTAAGTGAAACTGGACGTATACAACACCACACGGAACACAAGCATAAATAAATTTCTGGTGAAACATCATTCAAAAATAGTCTGTAAATTCATTAAAATTTAAGGTCTAAAATATCTATATAGTGGGCTCTAAGTTAGCTTCGTTGTTTAGAATTTAACTAGCTTATAGCTTAAACTATAAGAGAATTTATAATCAAATTTAATTAAGTAAAAAGTATACACAGTAGATCCCTATAACACGGTAGATACGTTCCGTTTTATATGAATTCCGTGTTTTACGAGTCACTTAAATACATGAGCCAATCACAGCCAGACACGTGTGTAGTTTACGGACTACGGTTGTTTGAAAGGTTTTCTTCCATAAAATTCATCGATTCTAGACTAATTCGACTCAACATTTCCAAAACACGTATAATATTTTGGGAATAGTCCATGTTAACTATGCTATAAACAAAAAATTGTAGGATTACTTACCGAGTGTGCACCGTTCGACGACGCCATTGCTTAAGCTTGTTTTCGTCGCGGAGCGGCGCATCGAACGGCGGGCACGTGTTTCCTGACAAGTTATTTTTCTGCGAAAAATTCGCTGAACTTTGGAGACACCATTAATATATATAATTTTTATGACCCGTGAATAATAAATGGTTTCTAGTAGGTTCGCTGCGCATTTAAACTCAACGGTTTGTACAATATCCGCTATTGGTCTAGATTCGATCAATCCTGTCGCGACACGCGTCGGCGATGACGTTTTACCGTTTCATACGAGTCTCTCTTAGCATGTTTATACGAATACGATAACAATTTTTCCGCCGTGTTATACGAATCCGTATTATATGAACCCGTGTTATAGGGTGGTCTACTGTAATCAAAAACAAAACACATGCTTTATATTTAGAAGTATTAGTCTATATATTTTTTAATTGTTTTGTAACTAAATTTTCAAATTATGGTNCTTCCCTCACCTCTAAATATATAAAAATCTTTCGGTCTCAGGGGATCTTCAAACGTCGAGAAACGAATAAGAGTTGGAAGTTTTCTATATGTATAAATATTAGCGTGTGTATCAGGAACATGATTTTTTTCACGACTTTCACGCTTAATAACTCCTGTGCCTTTTGTCGAAAATTTCTGAAATTTTGCAAAAAGGTTTGCGCATTAGGGAGAATTGTTTCTAGATTTTCCGAATTTCCTGAAAATATGTAGAAATATTTTCCCGTAAAATTCTTCTGCAAAATTTCAGAACTTTTCGACAAGAGGCACAGGAATTATTAAGCTTCAAAGTGGTGAAAAAATCATGTCTTCCATACATTCTAACGTCCATATATACAGGAAATTTTTTTCTTCTTGCAATTCTCGACGTTTCAAGGTCCTCTGATTCCAAAAATGCAACATTTTCAGGGGGTCCTTTTTTGAACGATCGGCATACTTTCCCTCTGTTATATAACAGCCAGAAAAGTAAAAGTTTATATTATGTTAGTAACTATTTCCATTTTTTCGTATAGGCTCAGTGACAATTCAAGATTCGTTTTCCTATTTTTGGTAATTTTTATGAATTAACCTCGAAAATTCTGTTACGATGATGATTCTGAACTAAATTAATTTTTAATCTAAAGTAGATGCAGTAGAGCCTCGATTATCCGACCTAATTGGGGACCTAACGGATAATTGAAAAGTCGGATAACCGAAAAGTATGAAAAAATCCATTATTAGTGTAGTATATTATTATATCCNAATTTTTTTCTTCTTGCAATTCTCGACGTTTCAAGGTCCTCTGACTCCAAAAACGCAACATTTTCAGGGGGTCCTTTTTTGAACGATCGGCATACTTTCCCTCTGTTATATAACAGCCAGAAAAGTAAAAGTTTATATTATGTTAGTAACTATTTCCACTTTTTCGTATAGGCTCAGTGACAATTCAAAATTCGTTTCCTATTTTTGGTAATTTTATGAATTAACCTCGAAATTTCTGTTACGATGATGATTCTGAACTAAATTATTTTTTACTAAAGTAGATGCAGTAGAGCCTCGATTATCCGACCTAATTGGGGACTGGGGTTGGTCGGATAATTGAAAAGTCGGATAACCGAAAAGTATGAAAAAATCCATTATTAGTGTAGTATATTATTATATCCCATGTAATTAGTATATTAGTATATCNAATAACTCCTGCGCCTTTTGTCGAAAATTTCTGAAATTTTGCAAAAAGGTTTGCGCATTAGGGAGAATTGTTTCTAGATTTTCTGAATTTCCTGAAAATATCTAGAAATATTTTCCCGTAACCTTCTGCAAAATTTCAGAAATTTTCGACAAAAGGCACAGGAATTATTAAGCTTCAAAGTAGCGAAAAAATCATGTCTTCCATACATACTAACATTCATACATACAGGAAATTTTTTTCTCTTCTTGCATTTCTCGACGTTTCAAGGTCCACTGATTCCAAAAATGCAACATTTTCAGGGGGTCCTTTTTGACCGATCGCCATACTTTCCCTCTGTTATATAACAGCCAGAAAAGTAAAAGTATAAAAACAGATAAAAGTTAATGAAATTTTAACCCTACATTTTATTGTTTAATAAATTTTAAAATTTATTTTTATTGAAAAACTTCATTATTATATAGTTTGTGGCTGATGTAGACAATGATAAAAGCAATACTGTTTTATATTTTAAAGAAATCGGTCACTAGCTGCCCACGAATCGTACTTTGAAAATCACTGAGCAAGAAGGTGCCATTTGATACAGTGTAAAATTAGCACTTTTCACCAAATATTTTGGAGAGAGGGAGAGTTCTACGTGTATAGTTAGGAGAGAATAACTCATTCTCTCGAATATTCAAGTAAAATACTGATTCTACGCTGCCATAATTACCGTCCTTATCTATCAAACGGAACCTCCTAGCTTAGTGATCTTGAAAACTCAAAGTGTGGTCAGTAGACAGCTGTGGTGTCTGATTTATACATTAAACAAACGTGTATATAATGAAGAAAATTATCTAAAATTACTTTTTATTTGTCACAAATGTCCCTGATTTCTTTACATTACTGTCACATGCAGTCTCATTCTCTACGAAGTGTGACATCATTTAAAACAATTCACATTATGCAATTAAAACACGCATTTTAGATAATGAACGTTTCGTAAATCTTACTTAACTTTTACTTTTCAAAGTTTCCTGTAATTTAAAAACTAAAATTTTTATAAAAAATTATATAATTTCTATTACGAATGGACTATTTACCTTGCATTAAATAAAGATAAAAGTGAACAAATCAAGTGTTTGGTTGTATATTAAACATATATTTTAGAAAAATCTTTCAAAATTTTACAAATATTTCTATCCAATTGTATGAAATGTAAATTCTTATATTGCAAAACAAAGTTCTATTTAATATAAACTGCGGTATCATCATGTAGTATTCATTTTAATGATTTCTTCTTGTTATGGATATATTATCCGATGCCACATTATAGAATTAAAAACGAGTAGTTATGGTATATTTCTATCATGGAGGATCAATTTAATGATGTCATGAACAATATGGAGATTATAGAAATAGAAACGAATAAGAAAAAACAAAAGTGCCTTATCAACAGGAGACTTTTACCGTTAAAAATACATTACTTTCTTTTAGCGGCAGGTAAGTTACTATTTTACTTTTTAGTAAATTATTCTTTTAGATAATGATATTAATATTCATACGCTTAACTTTATAACTATATTGTGTATTTACAATATTGATATAAAAATATAAAATGTTACTTTACATTTATTTTTTAAGGGGAAAAAAGCTGGTAACGTTATTGGTGGACTTTCCTGGCATTCTTCATTTCTTTTCATCCCTAATAATTGCTGCTATTACTTTTAAGTCTTTAGATGAATAATAAAATTACTATTATAAGTGATTACGGGTAAAAAAAGGGTCAATTAAACCATTTCAAAAATATTAAAAACATTACCTTCCCTCACCTCTAAATATATAAAAATCCTTCGATCTCAGGGGATCTTCAAACGTCGAGAAACGAATAAGAGTTGGAAGTTTTCTATATGTATAAATATTAGCGTGTGTATCAGGGATATGATTTTTTCACGACTTTGACGCTTAATAACTCCTGTGCCTTTTGTCGAAAATTTCTGAAATTTTGCAAAAAGGTTTGCGCATTAGGGAGAATTGTTTCTAGATTTTCCGAATTTCCTGAAAATATCTAGAAATATTTTCCCGTAACCTTCTGCAAAATTTCAGAAATTTTCGACAAAAGGCACAGGAATTATTAAGCTTCAAAGTAGCGAAAAAATCATGTCTTCCATACATACTAACATTCATACATACAGGAAATTTTTTTCTCTTCTTGCATTTCTCGACGTTTCAAGGTCCACTGATTCCAAAAATGCAACATTTTCAGGGGGTCCTTTTTGACCGATCGCCATACTTTCCCTCTGTTATATAACAGCCAGAAAAGTAAAAGTATAAAAACAGATAAAAGTTAATGAAATTTTAACCCTACATTTTATTGTTTAATAAATTTTAAAATTTATTTTTATTGAAAAACTTCATTATTATATAGTTTGTGGCTGATGTAGACAATGATAAAAGCAATACTGTTTTATATTTTAAAGAAATCGGTCACTAGCTGCCCACGAATCGTACTTTGAAAATCACTGAGCAAGAAGGTGCCATTTGATACAGTGTAAAATTAGCACTTTTCACCAAATATTTTGGAGAGAGGGAGAGTTCTACGTGTATAGTTAGGAGAGAATAACTCATTCTCTCGAATATTCAAGTAAAATACTGATTCTACGCTGCCATAATTACCGTCCTTATCTATCAAACGGAACCTCCTAGCTTAGTGATCTTGAAAACTCAAAGTGTGGTCAGTAGACAGCTGTGGTGTCTGATTTATACATTAAACAAACGTGTATATAATGAAGAAAATTATCTAAAATTACTTTTTATTTGTCACAAATGTCCCTGATTTCTTTACATTACTGTCACATGCAGTCTCATTCTCTACGAAGTGTGACATCATTTAAAACAATTCACATTATGCAATTAAAACACGCATTTTAGATAATGAACGTTTCGTAAATCTTACTTAACTTTTACTTTTCAAAGTTTCCTGTAATTTAAAAACATTATATCGACATTAATTACAATAAATA